TCCACTGCCTCCCCATCGTCATCCTCGGCGCCCATGTCAACTGTTGGCCCGGATCCGCCGGCCGCCGACGGTAATCCGGACACAACCCAAGGCCGATCTTATGACTCATCAGCCCGGGCTGCTTCCGGTGCAACCGTGGGGAAGCTGCACTTTGCCGGTTACTATCTGGGCGATGTCAGCTCCTACAATGGCATCCCTTTCTTTTCTGCCGACGGCCAAGAGTGGATTCGCTCTCGGGCTGGAGAGGATGCCTCGTTCCAAACCCTATTTGGAATGGGTCCTCTATGGCAGACACAACACCCAGTCCCAATCTTCATAGACTTCCCAGAAGGGAACGCTAGTGGAGAGCTGCCCGATAGGACAGTTGTTGAAGAGTATCTCGCTCTCTTCCGAGCATCCCAGTTCGGCTTATCGTTTCCAGTAATCGACTTCGTCCTCTTCCAAGAGACAATCGAGCTGGCCTATGAGCAAGCTGACGGTAGCCCATCTCTCGAGTCCGTGACGGCAAAAGCATGTGTCTTTGCCTTCTTCGCCGTAGTTTCCCTCTTTCAGGGAGAATGGAACTCCACACCCGAGATTGATGGTGAGGCATGTGCCGGCGCCGCCCAGAGACTGGTAGCAGTCATTCTGCAGGGTACCAACATCACTGCTCTCGAGACAGTCTTCATGCTGGTCAGCACTATGTTTCGTCGCAACTGCAACTCAGAACCTTGCTGACATTTCTTATCATAGGGCATGTACCACCTCTTCTGCGGCCATCTGCAACAAGGTGCCATGTTCCAGTCCGCCACATGTCGAGTGTTATTCATGCTTGGCGGACACCTCGAGCCCGGATCAAGCCGTCCAACTCCATGCCAGACGCCCCAAGCCGAGGACGACCACACCTCACGAGTGAGGAATCAATTACGCAGACTTTTCTGGTTGTCCTACAAGCTCGATAAGGATATATCCCTCCGAACAGGGCAACCTCCCAGCATCCATGATGAACATTGCGACCTGACTTTGCCAAAGATGGATTGGTGGATCCGGAGTATAGATGACCTCACGGGCGGCTCACCGTCCTTTCTCGACGAGGCAACAATCACGTCGGCTCTCGCACCCGACTCCCTGCAGTTGACGATTATCAAATCTCAGATCTCAACGAGATTGTACTCGCAGTCGGCCCTAAAGAAGGGCGATGCAGAACTGCTTAGGGATATCCGCGAACTCGATGATGAGCTGGAACGATGGCGGACGTCGGTTCCACTGTCCTACAGGCCGACGTTGACCTTCCCTCGGGGCACGGCGGTCGTGAGGAAGGGACGGCTAGGTATGGAGGAGATAATTCTGCACTTCGAGTATCATTACTTGATGGCAATGATACACCGAGCAAGTGGGAGATGTCGCTGTTGGGCAAGCGGCGAAGGCAGTGGGTTGGAGGGCGTCAGTTCGAGTCAGGCCCTCTCCGTACAGGCCAGCCGATCTACTCTCTACTTCCTCAAAGCAGCCATCCATGGCGTGGAACAAGTGGCATTCTGGTGAGTTGTCTACCCTGGACTGAAGCCTGAAGGCTCCCGTGGAAAGTCCAACCTTGCTTGCTAACGCCGGACGCGCCCAGGATGGTGGTATTCTACCCCATGTCGGCAATCCTCACAATATTTTGCAATCTCCTCCTGCAACCCCTGAATCCCCAATCCGAAGAAGACATCGAGCTCCTCAACTCGGTTCCGAAACTCGTCGAGAGCATGCGGAATCGCCACCTGACGCCGAACGAGGTCGCCCACGTCAAGATCGTGGACGATTTCGTCGCGGAGCTCACGCGGCTGGGGAAGCGCGCGATTGCTAAAGCGCGGAGGGAACAAGAATTGGCTTGAATGAGAGAAAGGGAAAGAAAACAGACACGAATTGTATGCGATTGGAACTTGGGATTCTATAGCGGGCGCTTCGGTGTTGGGAGTAATATCGAGCTGCCGAGGCTTCTACAGCTACTGGCTTCTGGGATCGGGCCGGTCGGCCATAGATGGGGAGACCATAGATTTACGTGTACGAACATTGAAATGTATTATCAAAGTCATGTACCACTATCAAACCATGCGAATGAATAATGCTCGATCTCTGTTAGTAGATGATACCCTTGTCCTGCGGCTGTACCACGTGCTCGCACATTCAACTCTACAAGCAAGGTATTCTTAGCAAGTTAAGGTAATCAACATATCTAAATCGAAGACATAGCCCAGGCTCGAGGTTTCCTGCACCTAGAACTTTGCAAGTTTGCCTGTGCGGAAGACTTCAATTATAGCAGGATTTCTTGAGCCATGGATGTTTGATCACTGCGATGTCTATGAAGCTGGAGCACGCTCGCTTCCGGAATTCATACTCCTCTGATGATAGGACTTTGTAATTATAGACATCATCAGGGCAACCTTTCGATCTGTACGAAACTCAGTAACCTTTTCATTGGTAATGCGTCGGCTTTTGGAAGGAACGAGAAATGGGTGGAGCCCATCGATTCCTTCCTAGTGAAAAATAGGTGCAGTGGGTGGAAGTGATGCTCATACCAACTTCCAAGTCCACCTTTACTACCGTCAACACATTTATCACATCGAACCCCCCCCCCCCCCCACCCTTTCTAGACTGTAGAGGTGTGAGTCTTAAACCTATTACTGGATGATGATTCAAAAGCGGCAAATTTGACTTAGACGCTCATACTGCTTGTCTTCATCAGTTCAGAATTTCAGTCAAGTACTAAACCACCAAACGACAACTAAACGAGATGTTGAAATAAGAATGAAGAGTTGTTGTACATCAAATGAATTAGTGTCAAAAGTTTATCAACACTCTCAATGAAGAGAAACCATGAGACTTATAATCTTATTCGGCTCGGAATCAAGGACCTGAGCTGAGAGAGGCGAGTGCTAACTATATGTCAGCCATTGCCAGTGATCCGACCTCGAAAATTCCTTTCTGTCCGCATTTCTAATTTGGCGGTGTTACTGACAGCATACGACCAGTGCTTTATATACTGTCCGTTGAGAGCACGACTCGTGTCTCCGGGCGGCACGGGGCAAATACGTGTATTTGAAGTTTAAACCCCCGCGGGATGGCGTGGCCTACCGGCCGCCCGCCGCAATGGCCATGCTCGAAATGAATGCATAGAGAAACTCAATCAATTCCGTCCCGGTATGTGGGAGAATAATTGAACGGAAAGGGGCGCTATACCGGCTTCTCAGGTCTTGGCGGCCGGGCTTTTGATGACTAGAGTACTTGATATGCTGGGATGAACTGGCTGCTGACCTTTCAATCGCTATTCATAAGTTGACGGAGTTTTGAGTGTTTTCGATCCCAAATGCAGCCTTCATAGTTGTGAGTTATTCGTTGAGAACGTCTTTGGAATGCATTTGCCGATATATCAATGAAAATCGTCAGCTTCGGGCTCCTTCGATACTATCGCTTGCTACTAGCTTCTGAATAAGTATCAATTGAAACTACTTCAGAGTGATTCGGGGGATTGTGATATGAAGTTAAGTTGTGGTGACGTTACCGAACCTTTCGAACCCGATAATGAAGCATTCAAAACTAACATGTACCAATCGGTGTGCACCACTTACTGCGTAATTATGGCATGTCCGAGAAGACACGATCTTTGGTAGATTAAGGAGGTTTTCGTTTTTTCAGGAGCTACGCATTCAAGATGCCGACGTCGCACAGATCGGTAGTACCGCCACCATGTTTAAATGCCAAGAAGTCTGCAAACTCTAATCTGTGGGATTTGCGGTGCAGAACGGATAATAGTCGTAAGAAAGCTCAGGGGTCCCGACTGAAGCTTTTCAACTCCCGGTGAAGTGGGAGGCAGCACTACGGATTCTGTTTCTGTATATATCATGCCTCTGATCGTCCGCTGCAGAACCTCCTGCACCACATCATTCATCAGTCACTCAACATTCTCTTGACTATAGCTGTACATTCGGCAAAGATTCTGTCATTCGTTCAAAAGTCGAATCTTATAAGCTTGTCTGAAAGAAAAAGGAGGCTGTATCACGATGTACATCAATACTCTTCTTGCCTCCTCCGCTCTGCTGGGCCTGGCATCCGCCGGATACACCACAAAATACCTCACTGGATCATCAAACAACACCATCCAGGTCCTCGTCGAGGGAGATGGCCCGTCACTGCTTGTCTGGCCTTCTTATGCCCGGGACAGCATCGACGATTTCCACGAGTTTTCGACCGCCCTCGCTGACGCGGGCTACCGCGTCTTGCGTCCTCAACCCCGAGGCATGGGCGAATCTACCGGCCCCATCGTTACCACTTGGGCCGAGGTAGGCGCTGACCTCGTCTCGGTCATTGATACCTTTGGCAACGGAAAGGCTGTGGTACTCGGCCATGCCGCCGGACAACGTATGGCGAAGAACATGGCCGCCGCCTACCCGGAAAAGGTGCCTTCGATCGTCTTGGCGTGCATCAACACCGGCATCAACACCAATGCCACCATCGCAGCTACGGCCAACATTGCGAGCAACTATACTTACTCCGTAGAGGAACGTCTCGCTGCTTTGGAGCTGGGTTACTTTGCTCCCGGACACAATGCCTCCCTATGGTTGACGGGGTGGTTCCCTGAGGCTATGGGCTCCGTGACTGGCGCTCCTACGAGCACCACAATCGGCAGCAACACTACTCAGATCTTGGACGTCATCGCAACATTGGACCCGTGGAGGAGGGAGGACCAGTGGAACTACACGACTGGGCTGGTGGGCAACCGGTCCACTGTTGTCTTTGTTGAAGATGCTTCTCACGCGCTGTTCCCTGAGAACTTGCAGGGCGTCGTGGATGTTATGGTGCCTTGGTTGGACACCCAGACTTCATCTTGGAAATAAGTCCTTACATGTTCAGAGCCATTTTGATCAATGAAATGAAGCAGGAAATACTACTTTGAGTCCAGCCACAAAATACCACAATTATTGCTTCCCAAGAAACTTGTTGGCCTGAGTTCCACCTAGAGGTTCAAACTTCCCAGTCGAACGATGAAGTCTCAAGACATTGAACAGAGAGTACTGGGGAACAAACGAATGTGAAGATCATGTTCATGAAACTGCCATTCGACTCCAGTGAAATCCCCAAGCTGCCCTTCAATATCCAACTATAGCGGGAAGCTGCCCATTCTAGTTTCCGGCCCGGCCCCGGCCCCGGCCCCACCGGCCCTGGCAAACTATCCGGCACTTCCTCCGACATGTGGCTGATGGAAGCAAGAGGACATTGGAGCCGAGCCAACCACGGAGCAGCCCACACAGTCCCAGAGTTCATCGAATCATCGTCCTGCAAACCCGCTCGCTGGAAGTAGGCCACGCAACTGAGAGAAGCGCCACACAATTCCTGCCCTTCTTCTCTCTTCAACCACGAGCAAATCTTCTGCCCAGTAGACATCCGGAGAGATCGTGCTTCTCCTTAGACATGCAGGACCCCCATACTCCCAGTCTTTCCGACTTCCAAGTTGCGCCACGTGCTATGGCGCAGGGAGGAGTGCAATACTAACCCTCTATCCTGGATCGAACACCCCTCACTCGTTAGGAGAACAGGACATCCAGTTTCCCCGCCCGCTGGTCTCGCACAGTTGGAGAAATAACACCAACGGCCGGGATCCGGCAGCCATGTGGGGTGGTGCAGAAGCAAACGCACGTCTAGGCCGCCCGTCTACCAGGCATTCACACAACATGAAGTCCACATAGTCAGCACAAGTCAGTAGGCCAGAGCCCTCCCACCTGCTCGCAAATCGAGCCCGAGTTTGCATCCATCACATGACGCCCCAAATGCGTGTCCAGCCTCAGGTCAAGCTCTGGGAGGTTAGACCGGCGCGGCTGGTTGGCTTGGGTACTTCTGTTCGCATGCACTGGTGTCACCGACTGTTGTGCCGTCTAATGCTGAGCTGAGATATGACAAAAACGGACGGCCGGTGTGCGCGGCGTGCGACGACTTCCCGAGGATCATTTGCTCTTCATAGGACGCGGAGCAAACGAACCCATCAGGTCGGATTGACAGTTGATCCTCGATCCCAAAAGCATCTCTGCGACCCATGACACTGTCCGCACATCTGGGCGATAATTCAATCTTAGACACCGCGTAAGCGCTCAGCCCTACCCAGAGAGTCTGCATCGATTGCAATTTAAACCCAAGAAGCGAGGAAGGGTGAGCGAGAGATGTGACTTGACCGTCTTCCCTCATCTCTCTTCCCCTCACCCTTTACTCCAAAAGGGTAGAACCCTCACAGTCACGCTACTCGGTTTCGAAAACGAAAACTCGCAGGCTAAATACCGCTTCCGGTATTTGCACCGCGTTCTGGGGTTGCAGCGCGTGGCCGGCACGCATGGCTTCATGTGATGGAGGGCGCGCCAAAATCAGACGAAAGGACGTCTGCGCCTCTGCGCCTCTAAAGGGCTTGCAGGCCCAGATCGGTAACCACTCGCAGATGCAGATATCTCGCCCCAGTCTGCCGCAACGTCTCGGCGTTGGAAGCAAACAGCAGCTGGCTACCTAAGGTGACACCATACCTACCTTTACAATTTTTAGGCTCAGGCGCCTGCGTTGTTACTGTAGCTGTTAAGTAGCTTCGCTCGCCTCTGTGCCGCCCCCGGTCCCCTGGATCTGCGGAGGGGCAATCAGGCTGAAAAGAACCCTGTACCAAGGTCGAAATGTACCCTGCGGCTCCCTGTTCTCCAACGTTGGTTGGCGGACAATCATGAAAGTGGTGTTTGGCATTGGTCGAGCCACGTCGACTCACCTGAAGGAGTTGCTGGTCCTGTGGACGAGCGGATGCAATCATGAGCTGCATTAGCTTGCTCGACGATGTGGATGTTGGGCTCCGCCAGAAACGCTAGTGCAGAGCGCTGATGAACAGTCCATGATGCGAAATTTACTCGTTTTTGTTCTGCGGGTGCAACCGAGTCTAAGTCAGAAGAAACGATCGTGGTATGTTCAACTGCTAATGTGACTCCTTTTGTTGGCTGGTCGTATTCCTTTGGACCGGTGCTCAACCCCATTTATCAAAACATATGTTGCCTTCTTGAACGACCGTCTTGCCGCGAAGCTATCAAAACAAGGGTCCCGGAAAAGGTCATGAACTGGGGTCTCCCCAGACTTGTCCGTCTCCGTCTCCGTCCCCAAATCACCGGGCCGACTCTCGTACGAATGAAGTCACTCCCATTCAGCCAAACACAAGGCCAAACTTCATGCTTGCCGCAACTTGCCTCCACAAGTCTGGACAGGCCTCAGAACCCACTTGCTCCTTGCCGTATGCTCGCATGTCTATCCTTCTCCACACGTCCATGACAACAGCCCACGGCTTTTCCGTGTCGACCACACCTTTCTTGCTGCCAAAGGCAGTGAACGCCTGACGCACCAAGCCTCGGTCCCTGCTGCATATGGCATGACGAGCAGAGAAGAAGAGCGGCCACAGCATGGAAAGTCCTGCTCCGCCATGAGACACTGACGCCGCACAGTGCCACAAAGCGGCCTGACTGTGTTTCTGTACGAGGCGATGTGATGAAGGGTATTCCGAAACGTTGCTGTAAAGAAAGGCCAGGGCGCTCTGTCTGTATGCGAGTGCCGTGCTTGTGATCCACCGGATGTTGGCAAGCTCGACTTCTGATGCGGTTTCGGGGCCGTCGACGATACGGTTAACCAGGGAAAAGCCTGGTGGCAGTGTCGGACCCCACGACTCCAGGGCCTTCTCTATTGCCTTGTATGCCGTTTGGTATTCGGTACGCAGGACGGCGAACTTAGATGTTTGTCCCATCGCTGTGGCGGCTTGAAGCTCGCGTTTCATCGCCATGAGCTCTGCGAGACGGTGCAGAGTGGGCCAAAGATCATCGGCCATTCCCAACACTGGATCGATTCCACTAGGGATGATGAATTGTGGCGGTGTACTTGGCGAGTAGGCTCGACTTGAGGGAGCTGCGAAGACAGGAGACGTGCCGTTCGTCAAGGCATTGAGTACATCAAAGTAGCGAAACACCTGTCCCATGTCAAAGATCCCTTCAATCAGACTTCCGCAACGCTAGGTAGCTTACCTGGTCGAAGAACAACACACTCGCAGGCTTGGGGGATGGCATGGCACAAATGATGTGGCGGGCGCCTTGAAGATGATTATACACCACTTTGTCCGAGCTCCGCTGTAGAACCTACCCCACCAGTCAGTCGATGCGTCAAGTTCAATCCGCTGTCATGACTTCTCTTACCAGATCGTACTGAATGAGTAAGATGATCGTCGCCAGAGCTTCTTCGAACCCATCTCCATCCTCGATAATCGCAGACAGACCAGCCACGGCTCTTTCATGAAAACATGCAGATCCCTCCGTCGTCTCAAGACCGCTATATTCACGATGTGCGCTGGCCAACGCGTAGATCGCACTTCGAACGGCGGAACTCCTATGCGAAAGGGGAAGTATATGTTGCCTAAAAGGGTTTGCGACACCATCTACAAACCCCATTGTCGGGAGCATGACCTTGGAGTAGTGGTCTAACAAGCCGGTATTCTCTGGTAAATCGAAGATGTTACGACCGGTCGGCGGGAGCAGGTCCAGCAAGGGCGGGGATGCAGTTGACCATGATTGCTCATTCCAAGATACGTCGAAACTGGCGCTGAAAAAGGAATCATCTGTTGGCTGCTGATAACTCTGGTCTAAAGTCGCAAGAGAAAGCGGGAGGTGGGCTTCAGCTGCTTTCTGACAACCCAGATCCCCCATCAACTCGAACCCGTCCTCAAAATGTTGTGAGTCATCATAGCCGAAATCATAGCTGCCTGTGTCGTCGAGGTCATCGGATAATGCAAATGCCGAATTTATCGAAGTAGAATAACTGCTTTCTACGGCCGAAGTTGGGGACAAAGTTTCTTCTACACCTAGTTGTAAGACATCGGGTGGAGTGACAATATTCGTATCTGGGCTTGTCTGGAAGTCCGTGTTGCCGCCCATCGGGCTACTTGAGTCGTCTGACGCCATAGAGTCTTGAGTGTCAACTGGCCGGGTCGAAGTTCTTCTCTTCCTCTTCTTTATAGGCTCGTAGACACAGACTATACCGGCCTGCACACAACGAAGACATTGTGGACGTTCTTCTGAGCACTTTTTTCTCTAGAGAGGTATTGGTCAAAAATTCAGATCCAAGATGGGTCAAGATGACTAACCTTGTCACGGCTAGAAAGCGTGGTTAGCACCTTGATTACTCTTCACGATCACAACATTAGATGAAAGTGAAGCTCGGACATGAACTCACCAGTATTTGCACCCTGTCATAACAACGATGTCCATGTCAGAAATTCTGGATCCGAGGCTGTCGTGATAGAAGCATCGTACGAACCTGCTCTCGACCGAGTCTTGATCGGCCGTGGACGAATGGGTTGAGTGACGAGCATGATGCTAGTAGAGCGAAAGCTCTGCGGAAGGATTCAAGGGACAATCTTGAATACAGCAAGACGGAGGCTAAATAACCTTCCCGTCACACTGAAGTTGTATCGAATGCCGATAATAGGTCGCAGCAGAAACTTGCAGCTTGAAAAGCAAGCGATAACAGACCATGATAACAGAGCAGCAGAGGCGATGGTATTTCAGCGAGCCACACCATGGGCAGACATGGTTCCCCAATTTACCCCAGCTCCATGAGGGGAAAAGATGCGAGGAGCCACCAGGAGACTCTCGACAGATTTGGAGACGTGCCGCACGCCCATGTCCAACGGCAAAATGCCGAATAATACCGGGTTCACGCACCCACCACCAGCGCTACGACCGGGACCCTGGAGTGACCCCAGAAAAGTTGCGACCTAGAGGACTAGACTGTGCAGCCAGCAAATTAACCGGCCATTCTTCCAACATCCTGGTGATCGGTCCAATTTGAACGAGTGAATTTTATGGAGTTCGATGAGCGTTTGTGGGGGAAGGTGGGAGCGGTTGGTTGTGAGGAGCCCCAGCGCACTTCGCGACATCTGACATGCAAGGGTCGAAAACACACCATCCCGGGCCCCCTTCGCCAGTCACGATGCGGCAGGTGGCTTCTTCGTCACTCCCATCATCCGATCGACCGTTGATTTTCATATGTACCTTGAGATATTTTGATGATCTTGACTTTGCCACCGGACCCAAGCGCGTCGAGGTTGGGTGGAGTACCAATGGGGTAACGGGGCGAGCCTTCAGAATGCAGCATCGATGGCCGATAGATAATAGGAGTCTGGTATGCGTTCTCACACAGCTTCGAAGCGAGACATCCAACAAATTGCTAACAACTGGACAAAGGGGTAACCCGATAGTATTGAACTCGTCATATTCAAGAATTGGAGACTCCGGACAGTGTTGCCCCTACCGTGGACTGATGTGATTCTTTTTTGTCATCTCGGCGTGGCTGATGAGTTGGCGATGACGGCGGAGAATGGCTTGACACAGTGCTCAGGAGCGGCATATCACGTTCTTGATTGGCTCCCGGATTTAGCATGGGATAGATGGATCTCAACCAACCTAAGCCAAGTCTCGGCTAAACCTACTACCAAATATGCTGAGCCACAGAGGCTCACGCATCGAGTTCAAAAGCCGTCTGGGATATTCACTTGCTTACTAACTTAGGCAACAATCTAACTTGAAGTATAAGTGAATGACAAACGTTGAGTACAAAAAGCAATAGAACCCTGAATTGGCACCGTAGGTTTGTGCAAAGAGAAGGTGAGCTACGAAACAGGTTTGTCGGGACTTGTCTCGCGAATGATTAAAGCCTTAAACAAATTTGATGAGGTGGCGTTCACAAGAAAAACAAACTAAACTTTCCGAAAGGAAACCTAGTTTCATTTGCCAGCCTTCCCTAGCTTTGACTCAAAGGCGGCTTAATTGCCATCCAGGAGATTGAGGCCTATCAAGGGACAGTCAATGCTACACGTGAAGAAGATTACATCACAAAGTTAACTAATTCGAAGGCAGTCGGTACCTCCCAACTAAGGTAGTCATCTCTGTTCAATAGCAAGTTGAGTGAGATGACAAGCCCCTTGAATGTCGAGTCTCATATATAAGATGGTGACATCATGATAAGAGACAAACGAGCGGACTCATGCAAGACAATGATATCCCGAGTGTTCCCAACTGGGTCTAGATTGAACACAGAGTCTCGAGAATTCAAAGTGTTCTACTTCTATATGACTTTTGCCTAGCCCTATGATAGACATCGCAATCATTCTGTCCCGTATCCTATGCACTGTTTGCGAGGCATGTCTGGGAAGCTCTTGCAGAGGCTGTAACCCTCCTCAGGTGAAAGGCGTAGCCACTCAAGCCCTGGAATTCGTGAGTCTTGGAGAATTTATTGCAAAATCATTGCACTATTCAATAGAGCATTGTGGTATGTGCAAAAAGGTTCAATCTGGACGTTGAAGTCATGAGAAAGGTGTGATACTGATGAAACAAGGTGATTGTCAATTGCAGCCGCGTTTGAATGAATCACATCAGGTACCTACGCTATGAATTGCTTTCGTTTCACCTGAACCTTTGATATGAGAACCCAGCAGATAGTTCAGGGGGTAGAAAACATGTGCTACAGACGCAAGCTGCAGTACACGGAACCCGGGGTGTAAATTTTGGCTGCAAACTCTGCCGTTACTGTTGCGAGTATATAAAGAGATAAGTATAAGAGAAGCAGATCAAGACGGCAAGCTTTGTTCATCAGTGAAACATTGCGCCGGGCATGATTCTCTTCAGATGAAGAGGCAATACCAAACCTCTTAATTTCAACGCATGTTCATTATGAAGTGTTGATATGTATCGTGCATGTATGACCCGAGAGCACCTCAGGAAACATGGTGATACGCACTTTCGACTAAAACTACTTTGACTTGGGAGTTAAATTTCGTCACAATATGGTATGAGAATGTCCGATGATCCAATCTAAAAGTCCTTGGCCCGTCACACCAATTATTTCTAGCAAGAATCTGGGTGCTCAGAATGGGCTTTTGAGAAGACTTGAAGTGTCTAAGATATTCTATTAAGACGCCTTAGTAAGTTAGATGCCGATGAAAACGCTCAAACTCAAATGTCTAAAGATGCTTGCTAAGTGCATGTGATATAAGAAATGTCGGTACTGGTGAGCCAAGTACCTTTATCTCAATGAGACTAGAAGAGACCAATGTCCATCGGAACAAAGATTAAGCTGAAGGTGCAGGTGGTATGCTTCCAATCTATTATCGGCCCATAGAGATCAAAAGTCTATTCGGCGTTAGGAACTGAGGCCGGCGCCGTGACACCTTCTTCGTCTCTCTTGGTGATTCCCTCCTTCTTCTTGTCTCGCTTGTACAAGAAGGCCACCGTAGCGGTGATCAGTGCTTGGGCACCGAAAGCAATAGTCGAGAAAATGAAGCCCTTCTTGAATTTGGGCGAATCAACTTGAGGGTACGTCAGGATCGGAACCCAGGCATTAAAGGCATAGCCCAGCGAGTTCATGATTCCTATGACAATTGCACGCTCCTCGGCATCGGCGCCGCAAATCTCGTTCGTCCAGCTCATGCTGAGTGGTCCGTACGGTACGGAAGCGCGCTGGAGAAGGAACGCAAACCACTTCAACCCGTCTGGTACATTCCAGATGGCGAGGATCAAGGCAGCGAAACCACCGAGGAAGGTGGATATCGACATGACGCTGGCACGATGGCGGATCGCGTCGGAGAGGATGGCGAATGACACCGTAAGGACCAGTTGAATAGCTGAAGCCGCCGTTGGAATGATATTCTGATACCTATGTTAGCTACGTGATACCATAGACCAACCATGAGCAAAGTCAACTTACAATCTTCTCCACAGACTCGCCCTTGGATTTGAGCCAGAGAGAGAAGGGATTCACACTGCTGGAAGGCCCAATATTGATGAAGATGATGTACAGAATGGTCAGAAAGTAGACGTGCCAGCGACCAAAGATTCGCTTGAACGCAGAACGGCCCAATTTGGTTCGCGGAGCACGTCCGACACTCTCCATCCGCCTGCGGGCAAGTTCACGGTCCTAGGTGATTGTTAATAACTGCGGTCCCTCAAAATTAGTGAAGTTGGTTTCACTCACATTCTCAGTCAAGTAGAATGCTCGTGTATTCTCCGGGAGATCGGGCAGGAAAAAGTATCCAGCAATGCAAATTGGCAGACTGATGATTCCATCCATGATCTGTAAGTCGGAGGCCGAGTCAGGACGCGGTTTCGCAGGAGTCGTCTCCACCAAAGCACGCCATATGGGATCGAGGGGGTGCTTACAAATAGCCACTTCCAACCTGCTAAGCCATGGACGCCGTTGAGTCCCTTATAGACGCCAGCTTGCAAATAGCCCGAGAACATGCTCGCCGCAGCCGAAGAGGCGTGGAAGATGCAGGCTCGCTTGCCGAGCTCGGAGGGCTTATACCAGGAGCCCAGGATCGTGTGAGCGGCCGGATAAAAGATTGACTCTGCCAAACCTACGAAGAAGCGGATTGCAATGACGTGGTTTGAGGTCTTTGCTGCAGCCAGACAGAACGTCAGAACTGTCCAGAGAAGCTCACAGGAAGGCACCCAGATGGACGGGCGGACTTTTGTGAGAACGATCTGCGAGGGGATCTGGCCCACGACGTAGCCGACGGTCCACGCTGTGTCGATGAGATTGATCTCGTTTCCGTTCATTGCGAGATCTTCCTTCATGCCGCTGACGAAAGCATTGCTGATGTTCGTTTGGTCGAGGTTTTTGATAAAGTAGCCGAAGCTCAGCATCGTTATCAAGAAGACGTCGAGCTTCTGGATGAATACGCGCTCCTCCTGCGACCGGCCCGGTTCGTAGTCCCAGATATAAGACCACCATGGCGCTTTCTTCTTCTCGAGTACTGCAGAGCTTTGTCCGTCTGAAGAGAACTCGTCCACCGTTACTCCCTTGGGAGACGCGGACGCGTATTCCTGCTCTGACCCCATGCCGAGCAGAGGTGAGAGCTCTAGTGAATCCGTAGGGTTAGTCACTTACAACGGAAAGACAGAGAGCAGCTCAACAGATGGTGCATTGAACAGCCGCAACTTTCAAAACCACAACGTTTTCTGATTTTGGGGGATCCCGTACCTGATTTATGTATCTCGCTTCCTGATAAACTGGCCATCGCGCTACGCTAAGGGAGGTTTCAAGTTGGCCGCAATCTCACGGATACTGGAGAACTGCCCAGATAACACTCTGGGAGTCGTGTGGGTTACAACGGGGTCCGATGCTTGATGATGTGCTGCGAAGCGCTGATGATTCGCTACCCCTTGGCGTGGGGTGTGTCGCCATCGCGGGGTCCAGTGTCGTGATTCGGCCGTCGCTGCCTCAAAAGCGCCCTCAACGCCGTCCATCTTCTCTGTGCAAGGTGTCTTAGCATCGGAGTCTTGCCGACTAGACTCTTCTTATTGCCAGGGAGACAATGTAGGTGTCAATCTCATTACTTACTTTATTCGATCTCGCGGAGCACTGCCGATACGGAACATTATTCCCGGCAGTTAGCTACTAGTGACGGATGGCTCCGTTGGACATTGTCGCATTGCAATTTCGTTACAAAGAAGAGCGAAATGAATCGGAATAGTATACTGAAGCCTAGCTCTCGCACTTATGGCACATCCTTTCGGAAGACCGATCGGCACCGGTGGACGTTTGACGGGCCGGACGCCGGCCCTCTCCCACAAGGGCCGGGCCTCCGGATTTTGTGTGCCCCATAATTAACTCCCGGTTTTGGGGACGATGGCACGATGCATGCGCCATGCCCTCAGTGCCCCTCCCGGATACGGTACCGGCCCGTCGGGTCGTTACGTAGTCGAGGAGTTCCGAGCCCGCTCGTCGGGATTAGCACTCCAGAAGGCTTGAAAAGTGATTCTACTGGGTTGACACCTACACGTTGGTGCTTTGGGTTAGTCGCCTTGGCTGCAGATTTGCACGATATCTCGACATGGCCAGCAAAATACCTGTAAGCCAGCCGACAAGTGGGCGGACGGCATGCTTTTCAACTTTCTGTGACTGCCGCCCATACTTTTTAGCATCTGTGGTTGCTCAAGGCTTCATTCATGTGTTGCTTCAAAGATCTTGCTCCTTTGCTGTGATGCTCCGCTCTGATGCTCTTCGTCAACAGGGTCAACAGGCACTGTACTGAGTTAGAAAGATGACATGCCACGAAACTGGTGCTGGAAACCCGAAATTAGAGGGCTATTGTTCGGCGAGATCGTGCCCGCAGGAATGTGTGAGGATGATTATGAGCTGGATTTCGTGAATCATGTCCTACTAGAATATCACTTGCTTGTAATTCTAGTAGCGTCGACGTAGGTGAATTCTTTAGGCCGTTGGATCATTCCAGCCATAATTGCGTATATCTGGTGTAAATACGGTTGAGTGGGAAGTATATAACAGATGTGTGAGCTGTTCGAGATGTTCTTGATAATGCGTTGATGACCGTGTCGTATGGGAAGGAATGGAAGACGGAGATGCGTATATCCGAAGTGCATTATTAGACTTGATATTGGTAAGTGTACAGTTGGTGATAGACTCGCGCTCTAGCCTATGCACGACCTACTTCGAGAGTTCAAGTCGGCCAAATCGCGCTGTATATCTACGGTTTCGGGATCATGTATAGACCGGCTGAAGTAAAGTAAAATATGTAACTATCAGATCTATGCGTGTTCAATTGAACAACAAGAAGAAAAGGCCAAAAGGGGAAAAAGAAGAAAAAAGACACAAAAAGGCATTGTTCCAACATTGACGATAAGTGACGTCCTCAGAGAAATGTGTGAATGATAAAATCAATGTGGATTAGAGGGGAACAAGAAGGGCATTATATATTCGACTGGGTATGGACGAAGGATAGACCAAGGCTTCATGGGGAGCCGTAATGTAGCTACTTTGCCACTTAGATGCAAAGGAAGGCTATGAATATGCAAGCCAACCATGCCAAGCATTTCTCATTCGTTCTGCTCTCGATACTGATATGTACGCAGTATTAGCGAGTCTGTCCTGCAATTCTTTGAACTTGGCCGTAGGAGCCCCTTTGTCAAAAAGTAAGTCTAGCTCAAGATACGACAGCTTCTTTGTCTCAGGTAGTCGAAAATAGCACCAAATAAGACACAAGAGAGCCGTGATCGCGTAAACCAGACAAGATTTACCAGCCAGGTTCCAAGCAGTTGGGTTGAGAAGCTGTGGCGCAATAACGTTATTGATGATGGTGAAGACATTGTAGACTACCCTCGCCAGGGCAACGGTCTTGACTCTTAGACGTGTTGATGGAATTTCTGCCACGATAACATAACAAGCTGGACCGATGGTCATGTTGTAAGTAAAGGTCATCAAAATGATAAGAGAGCCGAGGGCCCAATTCATTGAAGGATGGCCGTCCAGAACAATCGATAGGATACCACCAATGGTAAGGATGACGACTGCCGCTAACAATCCAGCAAGGTAAAGCCTACGCCGGCCAATCAGTGATAGCAACATCCAGGATATCATACCGCCAATGATGCCGAGACCATACATTCCTGTGGCGAGACTGAATGATTTGGAGGATTCGAAGCCAGCTTGTTCCAGAAAATAAGGAGCATATCCAGTCAGGGTGGCGCCGCACAAGGCTTGACAGGACCACGTCATGCAGCAAACTTCAGTCCTGCGTCTGTTCGAACCTTTGAACAAATCAAAGAAGCTCGCGCCACCATAGCCCAATTTTTTCTCTGTCGCGTTAACATGCTGCATAACAGCGAGCGTATCGTCGATATTGAGGTTCTTGCCGCTTGTGAGTCTTTGTAGCGACTGTCGTGCTTCTGAGAGTCTTTCGTGTCGGACTAGCCACCCTGGTCACAAGTAGTCAATAAATAGCCAAACTTGTTTAAACCTGTTTGGATGTCTCTTACAAGGACTTTCCGGGGCAAAGTAAACGACAAAGAGCAATGGAAGCGCCCAAGCCCATTGTAGCGCAAATGGTAACCGGTATGACCATTGGGACGTGTTGTCGATGAGTGATCTCAGAATGCCAGTGCCCAGTAGCTGGCCAATGAGCCAACACATATTCACATTGCTGAGAACGACGGCTCGTATAGCTGAAGGCACAATCTCAGCAGCGTAAGTCGCCCCCAAGGTCTGGATGACTCCCCATGATAGGCCTGATGTTGGAGTTGTAAGCTGAAAGACCAAAGCATGTCTGAGTAACCAAGAAATACACCCAAGACGCTTACTCACCACAAAGGGCTTGGGAAGAAAGTAGTACAGCGATGTTCTGAGCAAAGAAAGCTGGGGAAATGGCTAGACACAACCATCCAAGAGCAATCATCATCATTTTGCGATACCCGATAGCATAAGTGATGTACCCATGGGCAAGGAGCCCAATGATCTCGCAAGTTACTGCAGCATTCTGAATTCCCATCTGCCACAATGGCGAGATCTCATAGTCTTTGTCCTGTATGGAGTTGGCGCCCGGCAGTCTTGGTTCGCCATATTTGCGTCTAAACGAAGGAAACGCAATGAATCCGGAAATAAGCGACTTATCGTAGGCCTCCATCACGACTGTCAGAAAAAGGAGCAGTGACCAGATGATGGCTTTGGGAAAGTGACGGAAACTTCCGAATAGACTTATGTCCTTCTCGGCGGCGAGACCACGATGGATGCGCGCACCCGTGCCGTCCGAACTTGTTGAAGCACGAGGAAGCCATAGCACACTATTAATTGTGTTATTGTGAACATTTGATCTTTGACGTTCGAGTTCCTCTCCATCCAAGGGGTTCGTGTCTGCGATAGATGGTTCTTGGCGCGAGGCAGTTGCCTTGGGGGTTATGGATATCAGAACGACCTCATCTTTGCTGGTATTGTCAACTGAACCAAACATGTTGACAAAGTTCCAAAGCGCCTGAGATAATAAAACAAAGTTGGTTGGAAAGTGAGCATTGTATGTTGCATCTTCGATCGTGCTGTCGGTCAGATAAGATTTTGTATGAAACCACAGCTCGTGTTCATGGCTCCACTTCAAGCTGGTGAAAGTTGGGTTTCGGGCTTCATCCTAGGCTATCCGACCATTTCCCCAGACTATCCCCTGATCTTCCCCAGGGGCAAGTCTCTTTGGTTGATTCCTAGCCTCTGTCGTGGTAAGTTTGCGCTAACTTAGTACAAGCTAACCCACCGACACGGCTCAGCACATACCGCGCCGTGTACGCCAAGTTTCCTTCGCGATTTTCAGCAGAACTTGGCAAAAACAGTAATTGGTTAAATGGATTCTACAGCCACTCCGTAGAACAATCATTGCTTAGGATCCCCTGTCAGGCTATGCAGACGGTCGAATCAGAAGGCCGTACCTTGCTCTCCTGCCTTGGATACATGTATCTTCACCGGTACCCTAACGAGGGCGACTTGAACTTTAGTTCTGTAGCGCTGACAGGATTTGGAGGATGGTCTTGAAAGCAGATTTTTGATACAGGGATCTTGTACTAGCCAAAGGCCATCAATATCGGTAAGAAACAACCTGGATCGATGCCAAAGAAATCGTAGGAATGGACCTCCCTGATACTTGCAGTTGGGATATTCGGCGCCACCTGTTTGAGAATCTTAGCTCGAGTCGATAGCCATGCTTCCCTTCAGCCTTTTTCTCGTATAAGCGATTTCACTAGTCACATTTGGAGCTTGTCACGCCTGGGGTAATGGACCTTATAGGGTCAAGGCCTGCAGCCACGCTGAGCTATCGATGCATCCCCCTTTCCGTGGAAACCATCCTGAGCTGAATCTATGTGTTCCGTTCAGCCAAATCCCAGCAACGCCACAAACGCCCATACCTCGTGTCAAGAAGAACAAGCATTCAATGTCTGCTACCATATCAAAATGTAAGTCTGAAAGGGGCCGCTAATTTCTTATGCCCTTCAACTTTTTAATGATAGTAGCGATTATGATAAGCCCTTCTGCTTATCTTTGGTTTGCTCTTAGTCAACGGCAATACCTACAACGCAGAGAGTTTCATAAAGAATAACAAGCATCCGCAAATGATATTTCACGGTCTCCTCACGTAACTCGACGCATGGCACTGCCATAACTTTCCCTTTTATGACCTCTCTTTTGGTGGGAAACCTAGCGTCGACACTCGACCAATGATGTCGAGTTCTCGACTTGTCCCTGGTCCCTTGTCATTGAAAACATGACAGGATGTCAAGCGCTCGAATGCAAAGGCCGGAGTCTACGCCTGTTACTTGAGCTAGTGCGTGGTCTTACCACATCCCGTTTAGTCAACTACTGCGTGCTCTCTTAGCTCAAATTTCAACTCGGTGGCAACGAATCGTTCTGGAACAGAAATGTCACGTCCAATTAGGTACCTGGGCTAGCTTTGGCTCTCTGAGGATGGTGTAGAGAGATGGAACCACTTTGACGTATTGCTTGAGTCAGCCCCACCTACTTCCGCGAACTTGGTTTTCGGGAGAGATAGGCGGAAAGCCCTATGGGAACTAGGGATCCGGCTTTGCTTCAAGCAACTGTGTTTCTAACGGCTGGCGCAAATTTCAACATCCTTTGAGTGTGGTGGCCTGTACACAGTGAAGTCCAATCTTAATCATCCTGTGTGGGTAATGTCAAAAGGCTCGAAGTGTGCTGCGAATTAGTCCGTTTTTGTCAGTGTACTACATACATCCAATGGGAGCTTGAATGTTCAGGGTCGAAGCTGAAGACTACCACCGTGACACAGCGCCGATTTTTCCAGCTACCCCGGCCATACAGCGTATGCCTCAAGGACGAAATTTCCATTGTGCGGTCCTTCGCCGGTCTTTGCCACACAGTAGGCGTCTGAACCCAGGCCTGGCGAGCCGCGCTCACAATTATCGCTCAGCAAAACGCTATATAGAAAGCCGACGGCGTCGTGGTGGGCCTCCTCGGTAGAACGCATAGTGTCACGAGTTATGGCACACAGCAATGGGCATACGGAGTGTGGTAAAGTAGCTTAAGCCATCGAAGTGGAAATAGACAAAAGAGAAAAGTCCATATACAGGGTGTAAGTGATATATACGTGATACAGCACCTGACGGGCACTTTGTGAATTGCGATTCATATCCCTTTTACGTGACACATACATAGCCTTAGCCAATCAGTCAACCTTAGCCTGCCTTACATTGGCTTCGGCTTGCTTTGCGCGTCGCTTTGCTTCTAAACTGTCCTATGCTTCCTAGGAGAGCAACCGCTAGTCGAAACCCCTTAAAACCTTCTCCTATATCTCTGACAATAGAGCCTCGAATTACTTAGAATCGGTAAATGGAATAAGCTCAATTACTTTATACCGCGTCTCGTATCATAAATCCTTAGATAACATACGGCCAGTCTACTACTTATATTAGCAATACAAACAAAAGAAGGGGCAATGCTTACCCCAGGATAGCTCGAGCTAGATAATGGAGTTAAGTAGGATGCTACTGCGGACCCACTCCACTAGAGAAAGAAAGGCACTCATGTTCAGCCCGGCCAGGCGTTGGGCGTTGCCATGAGGGGTAATGGTAGATAGAGAATGTTGCCTCTTGTGCTTTTCCTATGGTTTGCTTCCGAAATCATGTTGGGGAGATTGCTGGGCTTTTTTCATTTTTGCTGTCGCTTGATGCGCTCGAAAGCTGCGAACGACTACCCCTTGAGGAGAGTCGGTGTGTTGCTTGTTAGTCCGCCAACGTTCGTTACCGTCAACGTTCGATATATTGCAGTTGTGTTATATTGCAGTTGTGTTTTGCTGCTGCAAGTGTGTTCTGTTGCAGTTATGTTATGTCTCAGTCAAGGCTTGTCCCCACCCGTCACAACACGCATACCTAACAGGAACCTAAGACATGTAACACACTATGCTAAATGCACGAGGGAAACCGATGGCCGACGCGGATCTGTGCCTGACTTTCTGCAACCAGGCCTGCATTGGGACCCTCGAAACGCAGTACGACAAGCGCCTGAGCTAACAAGCGGGGCGATCCCAGGGTTCTTTCCAAGTATCAGCTTCTTCGCCTTCCGGAACACAAGCATTCTGCAGTAAATCAAAGGCCTGGTTTCCAGACACGTAGCGGTGCTGCTTCCTATATAGCGTCCTCTACTTCGCTTTCCGATACTGGTGGCAGGCCGATCTAGTTATTATACAATACGTTATCAATATCTTCGATATTCACCTCTAGCAGCGGGGGGGAGAAATCTCCTTAAAGAGTACTACTTTCTTTTCGAAAGTTGTGGTAATAATTATAGGACGTGTTAGGTCTTCCGAAATCAGGCGTAATAGTCGGGGCTAATACTATCTATTCTAGGCCCATTTTGCAATCTTCTAAAGTAACTAAAGGCACTCCGCCGCTGCTTCCACTACTCTGCGATATGCTTGTTAAAGCGCTTTCTTTAGAATACGCCCTTTTCTATTACATGCCTCTTTATATACTACCCAGCTCTTCTCTGCCTGTTGTTCGCTGTAGTCCCGGCGGAGTCGTATCGTCTCAATCAGGATGTCTGCGCACTACTCGTTCCAGCGGTTGTGAGGGCCCCAGCAGTTGCCCCTACGTAACGGTCAATCGCTACCTTCGTTCTTGGCCTTCACAGTTGCGGCAGGCATTCTCGGATCGTCTAAGTAAACTTTTCCTCATCTATAGCTTTCTACTTCCGTTTCTCCTCTCTCTACCGCTCGGCTACGACGAGGTACAAAGATGTCGCATATATAGATAGTTGGAGTTATGGTCGATATTATTCTCTACTTCGCAGCTAATTGTCTAGTGATCTCCTTCCTTGTTTGTGACGGTTCCCGGCTGTAGTCGACTCAAAAGGTTCATAACACTGAAAAAGCTAAGTTCCGAGGAAAATGCGACCCTCTATCAAAAAGCTAGTCGCGCAATCATTCTAGGGCAAAACTGCAAACGACACATAATGGCAAAGTCTTATGGCAACAGTCTAAGCCGAAATTTATGTTGATCTTATGATTCATCGGCGAGAAGAACTACTGCTAACGGGGTCATCCTCTTGATCTACGCCTGCCACCACGCTATGTTCAACTACACGAAACGTGCATATTGACTGGGCCAAACACCATCCTCAATTTGTCACGATGTCAGCTTACCATCGTCGCAAAGTCATTTGAGAGTCCAGACTATCGGATATCAAGGCACAAGAACACTCGTGCCGCAATACCGCATGGTGCTAAGACCAGCCGCCGCCAAAATCAAACGGTACCATGTAGCCTTCCCGTGCTGTGAGATCCTAGCCTCCCAAAGTTCTTCGAAATAGAGGGCACCGACCCACCTCATTTCCAACATCTTACCTCTTCTTCATCTTCCCGAATAGCAGGTCATTGGTTCAGAGAGCTCAATGCGAGGAGTCCGAAGCTCGTAGGGATCTAACCGCTTTGGTAGGTCCCTACTCAGATCCCTGCCGGCATGGGCTCAGCCCTGTCCCATA